CTCCTCGAGATTACCAACTCGCGCCGCTTTAGCGCCATACAATTTTCGCCCCAATTCTGGGCAGAAAGCTAATCAGAAAGGTTGATGATGACCCTGATTGTAAGAACAGTACCTATTTTTATCGGCGGTAACATTTGGAGTCATTTAACATGCGCTAACATGAAATGCAAAATTTTGTCATCAGCCGGGACCGATCCCTCGACCGATTTTTCATACCTTTTTTGGCATTAGGAGGGCCGCTCAGAAAAAATGGAGCCTAGTTTTGTACTCCATGCATGTGCCCCTTTATCATGCAAAAAACCGTTTTCAAAAAGGGCTCCATGTCCTGAAAGACCTTCCTGGTTAGACTATACTAAACAGCGAATTTCACAGATATGTCTACGAGTTTAAGTCACAGTCGATAAATAACATTAATGCGCTATAATAGATTCCATCTATTTTACACAGACGGTATGGTAAGAAAAAATGGTTACAGATACTATGATATCAATGACATTTTGTATTTTACGGATTATTTACTAAGAAATAGTTATTGTATATTTGGTAACAATATATACAAACAAAACAAAGGTGTCCCACAAGGAGGTAACTTCAGTCCCTTACTAGCAGACTTGACTCTGTCAATAATGGAATATTGTCACGCAAAAGACATAAAGAGAAGTGGTAGTAAAGTTTTTGCTCCCTTTAGGTATATGGATGATTTGCTCATTATACATAACTATGAAGACAGTTTCATAGACGATCAGTTAAGGTGTACATATACATACTAACATTCCAGAAATCAAAAAAACACGCACAAGGATGAATACACAAGCAGGTATTTAGATCTTGGTATTGATGGAAGTTTGATGGAAATTTTATAACTGATTTGTATAACAAAACAGATGACTTCAATTTTAAGGTTATTAGGATTCCGCATAGCGATTCTAATATATGAACAATAAAGCTTCAGTAATCTATACGGAAACGCTTAGAATAGCTAATATCTGTTCCACATTGGATTTATTCAAAAATAAACTTGAAAAGTTAGTCACTAATTCAATGAGCAATGGATATTCTTCGGAGTTCATAATAGCTAACATAGTTATGTGCGTTTATAAAAATAAACATGTTGCTTATAAGTTCTCTATCGCTGACAATATTGTTAACATTAAGA